CCTGCCGACCCCTTCTTCTCCTCTCCTGCCGACCCCTTCTTCTTCTCCTCTCCTGTCGACCCCTTCTTCTTCTCCTCTCCTGCCGACCCCTTCTTCTTCTCCTCTCCTGCCGACCCCTTCTTCTCCTCTCCTGCCGACCTCTTCTTCTTCTCCTCTCCTCCCGACCCCTTCTTCTTCTCCTCTCCTGCTGACCCCTTCTTCTTCTCCTCTCCTGCCGACCCCTTCTTCTTCTCCTCTCCTGTCGACCCCTTCTTCTTCTCCTCTCCTGCCGACCTCTTCTTCTCCTCTTCTGCCGACGCCTTCTTCTCCTCTCTTGTCGAACCCTTCTCCTCTCCTGTCGACCCCTTCTTCTCCTCTCCTGCCGATCCCTTCTTCTTCTCCTCTCCTGCCGACCCCTTCTTCTTCTTCTCCTCTCCTGCCGACCCCTTTCTTTTGGTTTATAAATTATTTTCACATAAAAAATTACACATAATTATCAAGAGTATATAATGGGAGTTCTCCCATATATACTCTTCGTTTCTATAATGTACGTCGATGGTTGCTCAATTAAAACTGACTTCTTCTCACTCACTCATTTGTGTCCTTTTTTGTGGTGAGCTACAGTGTCATTGACACTTTCATTATAATACCTCACCTTCCACACTTTTCCCACCCTTTCCATCTCATACCTACACCATCCACCACCTAACATTTACGTGGAGATTTTGCAAAAGCCTGAGAGCCCCTTGCCAAAAAGTAGCTATACTGTAGTAGCATTTTACATGCAAATCTAACGGTTGTGTACCTAATATAAAAAGACCGATTAGTCGCCGACTAACAAAACTAAAAGATTATTGCTGGTTAGATAGAGTATTTATTATACACTGTACCACATATACATAAAGATAGCTGGCCAATAGAAGCAGCTATCACTATAGCTGCCAACAAAAGCACCGGATCACCCTGATGTTCTGATAATGTAACCTGACTAAAGAACTTCATTACACACGTTACATTTTATTGATACATTACAACAATAGATGCATACATAGTACTATCAACTTTCAGTCACATTTCACAATACATTACCGTGGCAAATGCATTTAAAACTGAAAGAAACTTGGTCAAATCAAGAGTATTCTCATATATGCATAGACAAATTTTTTTATAACGTCAAATTTTTTTAAATACCGAGAATAACTAGATAACCCGAGAAAAACAATTTAAATGCATTTATTTAACACATGGGTCACAGGTAGGCTTATCCATGCATTGCACCAGAACCTGTTGACTGCTGACATGTGAAGTTACTTGAATTTTACCACTAGCCAATACCTAAAGGCAGGTGAGTGGTTTCTACCACGATTAAACACGAAATTTACTTAATGCCAGACTTTCAAAATCTCTTAGTTTAAAGAATACATACTACATATACTAGTATCACAATTTTTACTATTACACAAGTTGAATTTGACACTATGTTATAGACACAAATTCTAACATTTAACAGTATTTAAAAAATAAATGAAACCCTAGTCTATTAGTCTAGGAGGGCCAATGTTGTTTGACATTATTGCTTGCATTGGTATTGATGAATAATAAACAATAAAACTGGATGAATGCATCATCAATAATGCCTTATAGAAGTTGAAAACAACGACAGAACTAATATCATTCACAAACCATGAGATCCTTAAATAGGTAACAGTTACCATGTGAAAGTTATATGAGTTTGTGTATTAATATAAAATTAACTTTTTGAATTGGCAGCATGAAGAGAGAGGAATGTACTGATGTACCTATATAACTTTTTGATAGCTTCTTGTTATCTTATGTCAGAAACGTAGAAGTATAGACTGTTACTCTCACATTAAAATTTTTCCAAAAAAACAAGTGTTAGCAGAGAGAAATTTCAACAGACATACCACACGTATTATGCTAAAACTGTAGGCAGACAGACAGATAGACATCAAAACACCTCAATCAGAAAAATGTTAAACGATAGTACCACCTGACGTCAAACGCCTATGATTCTACAAGTCATCTCATCGCACCCTAGGAGGTCTGTAATACTAGTGCCCCCTTCGCGCAGATTTCCGACCGGCGTGTTCCCTCCAAGGGAACGCTGACGCGCGGCGCGGGAGATACCGCCCGTCCGACGTGACGACGATTCACTTTGCGAAGCAGGCGGCGGCCTTGTTCATGAACTTGGCGAGCTTGAGGTCTCGCTCGGAGAGGCCGCCAACGTCGTGCGAGCTCAGCGTCACCTGCACCTTGTTGTAGACGTTGAACCACTCGGGATGGTGGTTCATCTTCTCAGCGCGCAGCGCCGAGCGGCTCATGAAGCCGAACGCCTGCAACGAGACACGCGCAGTGAGAATCGTTACGAGGGAATGCGCCCCAGCGGCGGCGATGCGCGGTGTGAGTGAGAATCGTTACGAGGGAGTGCGCCCCGGCGGCGGCGTGCGAAGTGAGTGAGAATCGTTATGAGGGAGTGCGCCCCGGCGGCGGCGTGCGGAGTGAGTGAGAATCGTTATGAGGGAGTGCGCCCCGGCGGCGGCGTGCGTAGTGAGTGAGAATCATTATGAGGGAGGGCGCCCCGGCGGCGGCGCGCGTGGAGCGAGTGAGAATCGTTACGAGGGACTGCGCCCCGGCGGCGGCGCGCGTGGAGCGAGTGAGAATCGTTACGAGGGAGTGCGCCCCGGTGACGACGAGTGGAGTGAGTGAGAATCGTTACGAGGGAGTGCGCCCCGGCGGCGACGTGTGGAGCGAGTGAGAATCGTTATGAGGGAGGGCGCACCGGCGGCGCGCGTGGAGTGAGTGAGAATCGTTACGTGGGACTGCGCCCCGGCAACGCGCATGCAGCGAGTGAGAATCGTTATGAGGGAGTGCGCACCGGCGGCTGTGCGCGGAGTGAGTGAGAATCGTTACGTGGGACTGCGCCCCGGCGGTGGAGAGCGCGGTGTGAGTGAGAATCGTTACGAGGGAGTGCCAGTTACTCATATATATCAATATAGAGTATTGATCAGCTTGTACGGTAATCTTGTTTCATTGCTAAATTTACACGTTTGTACCTGGTTGAAATTTTTGAAGATGAACTCCCTGTAGATTGCATCACGGCCGTCTACTTCTGTCCAACCAGCAGCTTTAAGGGTTGCTAGGCCAGTTTCTCTCGCCTCACCTTCAAGCTTTGCTCTCTTTGCTTCAGTTGCCTAAAAAATCATCCCAACATCAAATCATATTGATCAATTCACTGATTAGGCACACTTAATACAGGGATGAGATTAGATAATTTAATTTTCAGCTGAAATTTTAATTAGCAAACAGAGGAGTGATTAATGCGAGGATCGTAGGTCATCGCCATGCTAGGGGGGTCCGGGGTATAATTTTTTTAAAAGAATGGTGCAATTTGGTGCATTCTAAGCTATTCTGAACAAATTATAGGAGACTCTTGAATCACCTTTTCAAGTTGTCAAAAGGAACAAACGAACAATAATAGGAAATCGGGGGGAGGAGGGGCTGAAAATAGGGCAAGTTTTTTTAATTAAATGTCTAGACATAATCATATTTTTCTGTTTCCACCCGTCGCTTGCATTGTTTTACTCAGACATAAGCTGCCTTGCTGCGACCAGATTTGAATGAAAAAAACACAATGCGAATGGAACAATCAGTGCATAGTCATGCACAGAACATGCACGCAGCAACATGTAAACTGCCACCACGGGCGAGTGAGTTTAGCTTTGACTCGCCGGCTATTATTTCACTCGACATGCGAGCGGGCGAGGTGCCAGCGCTCGCACCTGACACACCACACCACACCACCCACACGGCCTCTGCCCTTTCCGTTCTCTCCGTGCGATTCTCCCTCTGTGTCTTCCCCCTATCCGCCGGGCGGCCAGCGTCGGCTTCACCACAGATGCGCACGTCTATGGCTATCTATCTCCACTCCGTGTGCGTTCTCCTGTGCTGTCTTCCACACTCGACCCGGCAAGGCCAGCATCACACAGATCGCCCAGCATCTAATACGCGACCATGACAGACAGACTAGACAAGTACAGACGACACAGATCACGAGCCAGCACAGACTAGAAGCAGATCCGACATCACTCAGATCAATGGTGAATCGCAGACACACGACACGACCAACAGACAGACCGACAGTACAGATCAGTCCGACAAAGACCAGCGATCAGCACATGATCAGACAGCATGTACAAAGGACATGCCGAGCATTCACACAGACAGCAACACCCAAATTGCCACTCCCCTCCCACGCGTTTCTATTCCCCCGTACACGAGCTCACACCATTGCTGCCCCTACTATCAACTAACGAGCAAACGAGACAGACAAGCGCAGCATCCACACATACCCAACACACAGACCCATGGAACTATCATGTTAATCTATCCTGGGACTCTTTATAACTGTCAGCTTTTCTACAGGAAAAGTGATATAACAGGGAGAGATTCTT